TTATGGCGAGTTGAATATATTATTTTTATTCTAAGTTGTTCATTTGAGTTAAAATTTTGAAAAGTTGAGTTATTGAATTTTATTTCAGTTTTTAGCTTTTGCATGCTTAAGTTAGTCTTCCGCTTGTAGTCAGTCAGGATGAGGGTTCGCTTGGGGACCAGCAATGGTTCTTGAGTACCGGCCACGTCCAGGGTGTAGACTCGGGTCGTGACAACCACCACGTATACTCACACCATAATTTCACACCATTTCCGCATTTACATGCCTTTATTTTAGGAATTACCCAAATTTTTCGATTCTTCATGTGTTATAGCCTATGGATCTGGCGCCTCAGAGCACCTAAAAAATATTTTCTCAAAAAAATTTATGAGGACCTCCGTAATGAGTTAGGGAACCACCACGTATACTCACACCATTTTTTTCACGCCCATTTAAGCATTTACATGTCGTATTTTTAGGAATTACCCAAATTCCTCAATTTTTCCTATGTTATATATATATATATACACACACACACACTTACCCTCATACCAAAATTTAAAAATTGGTTTGCTAATTATTATACTACTATTAGCTAAACTTTCAAAATATTACGTATCTTACCATTAATTAATAGTTTCTTACCATATATTGAGGAATATACATTTAGATTTATGTATTTTTGCTACCAAATATACTAAAATAGGGAGAGAGATGAGTTAGATTTTGTTATGTATTACATGTACATGTAAATCACATGAGATACACAATACATACATGTATCTATATATCTCGTGTGATTCATGTGTATATGTGATATCAGATACATAGAAGACTGACGAGAAAAATGGGAAAGATACGAGGGAGGCGAACGAGATTTGTTATGTATTATAGATATATGTGAATCTGTTCATACAACGTATCTAGAACAAATTACACCTAATTTTGACTCATGTATCCCGAGATACATGTATCTGGACGTATATGAACTTATCTAGACACACCAAAATATGATAAGATATGTAATATTGCAAACTAGAATATATTTAAGTAATTAGCTCCTAAACTAGTGAGATTTATGTAAATTTCCCATATATACCATATGCTATTTAATAAATATTCTTCGTGACTAGATATATCATCACTCTCAAACCATATTTAATAAATCATTTTCCTAGTTTTTCGATTTGGTGCAATTAATTCTTAGATGTTCTATTATCCTCATAAGGTATTAATAAATACTTTTTCCTAATTTTTCATTTGGTTAGATATATTATTATTCTCATATCGTATTTAACAAATACTTTTCCTTACTAGATATATCATTATCCTCCTATGAAATAAAATAAATTAATTTCCTTTTTTTCCCATTTGGTGCAATTATTAATTTCCTACTTATGAAACAATCACTTATAGAATATATAATATTAATTTCCTTCCTTAAAAAACAATCTGAAAGACAAAAATTTGTCTATGTTACCATATTTAATTAGCTAGATTCACCTTCCATCTCATGTATAAATACATAGCAAAAATAGTAGACATGTAGTTTCAAGATAAGATATAGTAGTCTTTCAATTATTCAAACATGAGTTATTTCAAGAATAATAATAATAGTATTTTCTTCTTATTCATCTTTGTACTTAGCCTTGCATTAGTGACAAGTTCTTCATTGACCCCAAAACTTGCTTTGTTTACTCCTGGTTATCTAATGCACATTGCTGATGCCCTCCCAAATGGTGCTCCACCTTTGAAACTTCGTTGTCAAGATAAAAATCATGATCTAGGAGATCAAACACTCAATGTATCTGAAGAATATAAGTTTAAGTTTAAAGGGTAATTCTTTGGTGGTACGTTATACTTTTGTCATTTTTATTGGAACGGCAAAGATAAAGTTTTTGATGTTTTTAATGACAATATATCTAGTGGTTGTGGATCCCTTGGCGCTTTTCTCTCTGAATGTTATTGGAAGGTGCAAGAAGATGGCTTTTATTTTGGAGGCCGTCAAGATGCTCAATTTGAGAAGCGATACTCATGGTAATGAATTAATGTATATATAGCATCGATCTAGATCTATTTCAATTTCGCGTAGAATAAGTGAGTGTTATAGCTCTAAAGAAATGATACTCCGTTATTCATTTCTTGATTATATTTCATGAGCTATATATATAGTATTATCTCACTTTTGTTTAAAAACATTTAAGACTTAACAAAATACATGATCGAGTATGAATTATTTTTTTATGTGTATATGATAGATGTTGTTATTCAAGGAATTCAAAGTAAGTTGCAATGGGGAAAAAAAGAAAAAAGAAAAGGAAGAGAAAATATCACAAGAAAGAAAATTAATTTGGAATTCTTCATGATTTGGAAATAATAACCTGGAGGATTTGGAATAGTGCGGACCATATATAAGAAGTGTAAATCAAATGTATACTGATAAAATTGTATATAATTAATATGTATATTTTGTATGAAAACTATATACCAAGTGAATATGAAAAATGCACTAATAAAAATGTATAATCAGAAGTTTTGATTTCGAGCTTTGAATATGAAAACATCATTGATAGGGAGTGCTTTTCTCCGAATGGGGTCCTATAGGATGCGAATCTAAATTAGTCAAGCTCCGATGTATAATTTTTAATCCACATTTTAAAAACTTATGTTAGTCAGTTAAGGACTATCTAATTTTACATGAGTTAACGAAGGACAGTTTTAACTAAATCCAGTAGATTAGGGAAGTTTTTTTTTTGTCCTCGGAGTACTATCCATTAAATTACCCTCATATGGTACTTCATAAAATTATTTCCTTATTTTTTTTTATTTGAGGTCTGCTGAAAAAAAGAGAGGCAAAAGTACTCATTACCCCCTGAACTTGAAGCTTTTTATTCGGTGTACACTTAAATTAAATTCCATTTTAATTACCTCCGAACTTGTTTATTCCTCCGTTGCGTACACCTTTATTGTCCGATCACTCCAATCGTGTCTACACGCGCATGACACCTAGATAAATATTAGCCACCTGGATAAATATTAGCCACCTAGATAATTAAATGTCAAACCTTCTCACCTACTCCAAAACTTCCGATCTAAGCTTCTCACTAAGCTCTAAACCTCTCACCAAAGGGTAAGAAGTGTAATCGACGGACGACGACAGATTTCAAAACTTTTGGCTCTCTAAGAAGTGTAATCGACGGAGTAAAGGGTAGATTTTGCGAAACTCTTTCTGAATTTAGGTCAGTTGCAGTTCTTAGACGTGAAGGCTTGCTCGATTTCGTGAAGAGTTTGGTCGATTGGTCGATTTTCTTTCGATTTTGTTTGAAATTGTTACCAAGTAAGTGATTATCCACTCTTATGATGTGTTATTGTTTGTTTCCTTTACTTTTTCATTTATATTTTGCCCTATTTTCGTTTAAGGTTTCGCCGTAATTTGACTAGGGTTTCGGCATAGTTTCCGATTAGGGGTTTGATAGTTTGATAGTTTTCAACTAGAATTTTCACTTAATGAATGTATTATTATGAAGTTGTTCAGCTTATGCATGCATGAGTATTAGGGTTTCTGGTAATTAGTTCAAAAAATTAGGGCTTTTTAGTAAATTTAAGATTTTAGGGTTTTTATTTCAATATTCTATTTTGGTATTGTTAAATGGTGGGGTATTTTGTAATTTCCTTATGTATATTTGTATGATGTTGAGTAATATGACTACTAAGTACCAATTATGTTTTTGTACTGTTTATTATAATTTCCTTGTATAATTGTATGCTTATGAATTAAATTTGGTTTTGTTGCTTCTGTTTTGGTGTTGTTGTCTATGTATTGGTGTTATTGTATATTTTTTAGTGCTGTTGCCTCTGTTTTGTTGTTATTGCACATGTTTTGTTGTTGTTGCCTTGTACAATATGTTGATTGTTATTGTGGTTATAAGTTGACACTATGGCTACTAAGTACCTCAATTTAAAGGTTCAAATTTGAGGGTATCTTGGTGAGTGAAGTAGGTCCAGTATATGTTGGGGGTAGGACTGAATATGTAGAGAATGTGGATGAAGATCATTTGTCAATTCCTGAACTTGCAGATTATGCTAAGTCTTTTGGGATTAGTAAGTTAGGAAAAACTTATGCTAAGTCTCTAGGGGTGATCTGGTAGAATTGAAAAATGACATGGACATTTGTAACATTGCATTATCTATGCATGATGGGGACACAATAGATATTTATGTGTGTCATGACACTATTCTGTTAAGTCAAGTGGTTGAGTCTTTTAATGCACATGGAAAACCTGATGGTTCTTTAACTGCACAGCAAAAAAAACCAGATCTAGGGTTAGGTTCCTCTTCTTCCTTTCCATCTATTGAAAGAGTTGAGAATGATGGGGTTGCAAGTGTCCAACAAGAAACTGATGATGATTATTCATCAATAGATTGGACTGATACTGAAGAAGAAGGTGAACCTACTGTCCAACAAGGAACTGAACCTTTTATTCAAGAAGAAGTTGAACCAAGTGCCCAAGAAAATGTAGAGGAAGACATAGACAGTGATTCTATTTGTTCTGACCAGTCTATTGACTATGGAAGTGATGTGCATGAGGAGTTGAGGATTGTTAAGGAAGATGTGAGAAAGTTAAAGAAAGTAGGAGGAGAAAGAAGAAGGAAAAAACAAAAGGTTTTTTAGGTGAAGTTGGACTTGATGAAGGGTATGAGGATATTGAAAAAGGCAAAAAAAAAATCAAGGGTAAGCTAACAAAGGATAGAGGATGAGCCATACTATGATAGTTTTGATTGTGATAGTTTTCAAAGTGATGAAAAAAAACATGTTTCTGATGATGAACTTGAAGGAGGGAGTTTAAGGGGGGAGAAAGAAGAGTAATAGAGTGATATATGATTCTACTTGTGATGTTGTAATATGGCAATGTGGTTTGGTATTTGAAAGTGTAAAGGAATTTAGAGAGACAGTTACAAAATATGCTATAAAAAAGGAGTTGAGTTAGACAAGTATGTGAATGAGAGTACTAGAGTAATAGTCAAGTGTAAAAGTGGTTGTCCATGGCTGTTGTATGCAAGGAAGGAAGGGAGGAGTGAGAACTTCACTATCAAGACATACAACCCAAGGCACAGATGTACCAGGACGACCACCAATAATATTTTGTGTAATTCAAAAATTTTATGGAAGTATCTGAAGAGAGGATTATTTCTCAACCTAGTATAAAAGGGTAGAAAATACAAGATTTGGTGAGGAAAGAGTTGAATGTTCATGTAGGCAAGGTAATTTGTTTAAAAACAAGAAAAACTATTTTAAAGAAAATTATGGGGGATCATGTGGGGGGATCATGTGGCAGAATTTAACAGAATCCTAGACTACAGGGATGTGTTACTCCAAACAAATCCTGGTAGCACTTGTGTTGTGAAGCATAAAGATTCAGAATCAGAAGATGGGATGAAACAGCTTCACTCTTTTTATATATGTGTTTGATGCTATGAAAAAGGGTTTTCAACAAGGATGTAGAAGATGTATAGGGCTGGATAGGTGTTTTCTAAAAAGAATTTGTAAGGGTCAACTTTTGGTAGTTATTGCTAAGGATGCAAACAACCATATGTATCCAATAGCATGGGCAGTAATTGGTACTGAAAGCAAGTTGACATGAAAATGGTCCATGACCATTCTGCAAGATGATCTTAATATAGAAGATGATTCCCAGCTCACTATCATTAGTGATATGTAAAAGGTAACTGAATTTTTTTTTGTTTATCTTTAATTTAATTTGATCAACATTTAACTATCTTTATTATTTTGCTTTGCAACTACAGGGACTAATAGCTGTTGTAGATGAACTATTTCCAGAATGTGAGCACAGAATGTGTGCTAGACACATACTAGCAAATTGGTCACAAAACTTCAGAGGCATAGAGAGAAGGAAGAAATTTTGTGCTTGTGCTAGATCAACATTTGAGGCACAATTTAAGTACAATATAAATGCCCTATCCAAGCTGGGAAAAGGTATAGTTGAAGCCCTTATCAAATACAATAAGGAGAAATGGTGCAAAGCTTTTTTCCAAATTTTTTCTAAAATAGTGATAGTATAGATAACAACATGGCAGAGAGTTTCAATGCTTGAATCTTGGGATCTAGGAACAAGACTATTGTAACTATGTTGGAAGCAATTAGAGTTAAGGTGATGAGTAGGGTGAGTAAGTCAAGAGCATTTGCTGAAACATGGACAAATGAAATATCTCCAATGGCAATGATGATATCCAATACCAATGTAGCAAGATCAATGCAGTGCAACATTGAATGGAATGGTGATGATGGATTTAAAGTGTTAGAAGGGGTGTACAAACATACTGTGAACTTGGGTCAACAAAAATGTAGTTGCAGAACTTGGGAATTAAAAGGTATCCCATGTGCACATGGTATAACAGCAATGAACCACTTGAGCATGGATGCATCACAAGCAATTTCAAGTTGGTATAGAAAAGAGACATATCTGAAGACATATTCTCATTTCATTCAACCAATCCCAAAAATGGAAATGTGGCCTGAGAGCAGAAACCCAATTATTGAACCACCTGAGGCAAGGCAAATGCCTGGTAGGCCACCAAAGAACAGAAGAAGAGAAATTGGTGAAGTGATAAAAGCTGGGAAGTTTCCAAGAATGGGGACAGTAATGACATGTTCAATTTGCAAAGGAGAAAATCATAACAAGATAAATTGTCAAAAAAATCCTAAGCCTAAGTCTACACCAACACCCACTCAAGAGGTACATTCACATTAATTTGCTTTTATAAATTAGATTAGGTTACTTATTAATTTAGTCTCTTGTTGTATTCTTTTTCTACTCACATTAGTCCACCATTGGGAAAAAGAGGGGTAGAGGTCAATATGAAAGAGCAAGCAGCAACAAGACTGGTACAAGAAGAGGTGCAAGAAGTGGTTACAAGAAGAGGCCAAAAGTGGTTGGATAAGGTGTATTTGTTGCTGATATTGGATATACATGTATTAATGTAAGTGTCTTATAAAACTGTCAAAATTATATTTTTAAATGTGAGACCCAAAATAACTA